TTCATTAGTACGTAGATTAACGGTACATACATTGTTTAATGAATTTGGCTTTGACTATATCAATGAAAGATATAATAATTCTGACTCATATATTCATTATGTTATACGTATCTCTTACATCCTTCTCCACAGAAAAGGATACTTGATCGTATGTGGGACACATCTCTCGATGTCCAAACACTTACGATCAACATTTACTTTTTTTTTTACACAAAATGAGTTGTATCGATTAGTTTAATGTCAATATACTTTTATAATAATTGAAGATTACAATATACGAGTAGATTATTTTGTTTGTGATATACTTATAGTATATTTCTCATAGAAAATGAATATATTTTTCAAAATGAATATTCTGAAACAAGTCAAAACAATGCTATAGATTTTTTTATTTCACAATAAAGCATGTCCTTCAGACCATTTTTCACGGCGATATTTCTTTTGTTTTGGCTTTGTTACGTCTAACTATACCATCATTCGAGATCATGAGTATTTGACATATGGAAATCTTGGTTTATTAAATTCATGTAGAATTATTCTATAAATAGTTATTTAATATGAAAAGTATTGCCGATAAATTTTATATGTCAGAAGAAACTAGTGCTAATTATTTTCAGTTTTTTTTCTTTGTTATTACATAATTACATTATCGTCTAAGATAATATTTATAGAAATATCATGACATTTGTCGATCTCTATAAGAGATGATTCTATTTAATTTTCAAGTTTGATTGAAAATTGTTCAAAGTTCTATGCATATTGTTTTCTTTTTCTTTTATTAAAATCATCATAATTGGTATACTCGAATGATGATAACATACAATACAATAGTCATTCACACTCTGGTGTCTTTTTTGTTTTTACAAAAAGAAATGATTTTCCTAACTCAGTTCCCTATTATGAATGAACACTTCATTTTTAGGAGAAAGATAAAGTTTTATTTTTCTCTTTGCTCATAAAACTTCGAAATCTCAAAAATATAACATATTCTTGAAATATCGATGACAAACGAAAGAAATTTTTAAAAAATGTTCTTTTTTGATATTTCTTCTTCAAAAAATACCTTTTTTTTATCATTTCGATGATAGTTGTTGTTTTAATTTATTTTTCTATCTTCTCATGTTATAGCATTTTATTTTTCAAAATATCTTCTACAAAATGAAACTGATTGATTGATGAAATCCTAGCAAAACGAAAAACAAAAAAAAATTGACGTTTCTCTATAAGTGAGGGTAGTCGAACAAGTATTTATTTATCGATAAATCCAAAATATAATGATTTCGTAATATAAAATGTTTTTGTCTCAAAAATGAATTTTTAGAATTAGTAGTTTTTTTTTACACTCTGCCCTACATACTTTCTTTTGATAGATAAAAGGAAACGTAAAATTGTATGAGTAACTTAACCTTGTTTTTCTTTTTAAATTTCAAAAGAAAGAGAAAATGTAATCAGAAAATTTTATAATTTATTAGATGATACCTATAGAAAGTAATTATCAGTTATTGCCTTTCTTTTCTGTTTTATAAAAGATTTCAACATTTCTTAGTTTCACGTACATAACCAAACTTCTAGTGTACTGTAATGGTTCATCTTTATATAAGGACTCAAGACACGTTAATTCATCAACTCGAGTTGATTTTAATGAAGACTTTTCGTTTGATTACAAAGAATAATTCATTGAACATATTAACTTTGTAGAAAATGTAATCTTCATTTTAAAAATAGTTGAAATATTGACATGGGTATAATCATCAAAATCTGCCATAAGATAAAATTAAATTTTCTTGGTCATATGTATCCATTATGAGTAGACAATAAATGTAATAAAGGAGTAATTATCATTCACTTATTATGAAGGATAACGGTATAAAATAAATCTTTTCGATAAGCACGTTCTGTAAATATCACAACAAACTATCAATAACCTGTATTACTGACTTTTATATATGTATTCAATTGCATTCACAAATTCAGAGAAATAGTGATGAATATAAATCATTTCGTGATTGTGGATATATAAAAAAAAACGAATGTTGAGGCACATGCACCAGAAGTCATGAATTCCTCTCACAATATACAGCTGATTATACAGTATATATTATCGGTTTTATTTTCTTTTCCAGATATATCTATAGAAAAAAAATTATTCATTTTACAGATTATGAATAGAAAACAGTGATACAGAAACGATACTATTTCTAGCTTTTGGCAATAGTTTTTTTATATTAAACTACATCAAATAAAATGTTAGTAGAAAGAATGAATTGAGTTTAGATTTTATAAGCACTATCATTTTTACACATTTCACTTTCTTTTGAACGTAATCTAATGTAATGCGTAAAGACAAGAGGAATGGCGTGCTGTTACTTCATTTGTGACAACTTTTTCTTTCGACTTGAACAATGCATCGTTTGTCACAAGGTGCAAGTGAAATCGGTTAATTGATCATATCAACTGAATCATGAAAATTGAGAAATATAAGAAAGAACAGAATTGTTCTGTTCATTGAAAATTCCAAAAACCAGATGCTTTTATTGATCAAATCTATTCAGTTTGCTTAAGTATTCACGAGTATTGATCAATGAAATAGATAATTGTTTCTAGTTACTGAAAAAAAATCACTGTCTATGAAATTATATCATATGCTTAGAATTAAATGAAGTATATTCTGTATTTTTATAGATTGCAACTTCATAGACGATAAAAACAAATCTAAGTAAAAAATAAACTTGTCAATCTAATGATTTCATGATAGTAATAGACCATTGTAGGTGTATTCGTGTATTTCATATGATTTTTTTCTCTCTTACAGAAATTATTCAACAGATAAAAGAACTTCCTTTTGTTTTCATAGTACTTAGTTTATTCAAATCTTTCATCAAATTATTGTCAGTATATTCTTTGTTCCGATTGCATGGGGATCTTATGAGGTTTCATAAAAAAAGAAAACATACTCAGCAACTTATTTGTGTATTTTTCTTGTTAAGTTTTGATGTTTTTGAAAATAATACAGGCATATTCGGACATATATCCGTTTTCCATAATTTTATAAAGACAATTAAAAAAAGTATTAATTAAATAGGTATATACATAGCTAGACTAGAATATTTTTTATTAGATTTGTCCTGTTTTTCATAATTGATATGATAAAGAACAAATTGAAGGGTCTTCATTGCTTAATATAGTCATAAAAAACTATTCAATTCTCTCATCAATATAGACATTGTTCAATTGGTATTTTTTTGCCGATTTCGTTATGCAATGAACTGATGTAGTTATCGAATGTTTGTAAAAGGGATACTTTTATTGCGATATTTATTTTGTTTTTTTTTCGAAAAAAAGTGAACAAACGTGAGTAAATAATAGGTGAGAAAATGTACAAGAAAAACATTTCATTTGAAGAGAGCTTGTTACAATGCATAATTGAACTAAAGAAATAATAAAATAATGTATAAAAGGAAATTACTAAGATTATTAGTTAATAAAATTGATTTGAACATGAGATATCTTTTGTTTATGCTTTATATTTATTTATTTAAATCTTATAATTTCAATTAGTTTGTTATCTGTTGACAATAATAAGAAAATATTTTGTTATACTCGAAGTACGTTAATTTCGTTGACTGAAAAGTGTCTCTGCTTTTTTTAGAAATCAAATTATGTATAGATCAAATATTGATTTTGTAAAAGAAATCTCAATAATAATAAATCAATTAATTAATCAACCATATATTTCTTTTCTCATTATACTTTCAATGAAAAAATTTTGATAAAGATGTGTTAACGTTCTATGCCTGAAAAAGAATTTTCGTACGAACCATATGTTAAGAAGTATAAGTGAATCTTTGAAAAGTAGAAGAAAAATTTGATCTAAATGATATTTAAAGAAAAATGCAAATGTCCCCCTATGAAATGATATCCTTCTCATTACTTTTATGAGAAGTTTCTATCAATAAAAAGGCTTATAATAAAAGACTTATTGACATATTTATATTCGATATATATGATAGAATTCAGATTGATGTTGATGCTTAAAGAATATTTGTGTAAAGTTTTTTGTTTAAAATATCAAGTAACTTCTCCCGATTGTAACGTATTAAACAATGAGTCTTTTGATAAGATTCATAAACAATTTTCTTTATGTTCTAATATTTATTCAAATTTAATTTATGTTTCTTTTTTCAAATGACCTCAGTTCAATTCAAATAGTCATTAGTCCAGAAATCTTACTCATATGAACTGCTGATCGCAAGATTCAATTAGTATGATTAGGTACACCAGATCAGGCATCATATGATCATGGTTGCATAAGAGAAAAATAATTTTTGAATTTTAATATCAAGACAGACGAACTCTTTGCCAGTATTTTCATATGAAGAAATCCAATATGATTTTTTTTTGTATTAACCTCTTTGTATATCTGTTGTGTCTGTTATTTATTTGATTAAATCAGTAAATTGAATGAAGGCATTAATAATTGTTTTCTTATTCAAACGATTAATGTGGAAAATCAGCTATTGTAATCAATTTAAATTAAATAGTCTGGTTGCTTTGCCTTTTATTTTGAAGAAAGTTCGTTTCCAGGAAAAAGTGCATTTTGATCAGAGACTTCTCTTTAGGTTCTCTAATAGTGTAGAGCTAAGTTCAAATTTGGGTGTGGGTGTAGATAAAGAGAAGACCCCTACCCACATTCACACACCCACACCCTTCAAAAAAATTTCTTCAAAAGAAAATTTTTATCAAGATCAAATAACAGGAAAATTAGAAGCTGTTGGAGATACAGTAGAACCATTTCATTTTATTTTACATCCAAAAGATGAACAATATTTAACTCGTGAAGATCAAGATAAAGGAAAAGAATTATATTCACTTTTAGTTCAATTTGAAATTCTTCAAGGAGATACAATAAGAAAAATATTTCGAAATAATTCACAAGAACGAGATAAAATAGAAAAGATAATTCGAAATGATCTTGATCCTTCGATTGCCGATCCATTAATTAGTTTATTAAATAGTAAATCTTATTTTGAAAAAAAAAGATTTCGACGATATTGTTTGTTATAGTGAAGAATTATGGCAAATTTTAAATATAAATAAAATAGAAAAAGAATTACCACGGATATATGAAAATGTTTGGAAAGATTTAGAAGATAAAATAGATCCACAACAAGTTAATATTTCTCTATTTGAACAATCAATAGAAAGGAAAATATGCGAAAATTAAATTTAATGATAATGGTCATGAAACAAAAGATCTTAAAATATTTTTAATAGAATTAAAAGATAATATTAGTCAACAAAATCAATATTTTTATCAAACAGATTTACCATTTACTATTAAAGAAGAAGAAGGAAATAATATTCGAATTTATCTAAAAGAAAAAAATATTTTAAAGTCTGGTGGACTTGCTAAATATAAATATGTAGATATTAAAAGAAATATTGAAAGAATTTTAAAAAATATTCAATGTGAAAATGATAAAGAATTAATTTTGTCGAAAATTTTGTCTTTACAAGGAGATATTCGTTCATTTAAAACAGGTTTAAAAGCTAATTTAAAAGATTTTATAGATCTTCAAGATCAAGAAAATGTTCCAAGTGAATTAAGATTTTTTGAAGGTTTTAATCTTAATAAATTTTTGATTATTGAAGAAGATAAATCTTGGTGGGATTGGAATGCTTTTGCCGTTGCAATGATAGGACTTGTTCAAGTTATTGCCGAAGCTGTTTTAATAGCCTTTGGTTTGACTCAGATAGGCAATGCTTTAATATCAGGTATTTTTAGTTGGAAAGAATGGGCAATACAAAAAGCAATTAACTTCGGTCTCTCTCTATGTTGACTGCTGGAATTGGAAAGTTTTTGACGGATAAAATTATGGAACAGATTCAAGAAAATGTTTATACAAAAGATTGTTAATGAAATAGAAGAAAATTTATTAAAAGAAATAATCGGTTTAATAAATAATAAAGTAGAAACTGTTTATCTTCAAAGTAAAAATGAAGAAGAGTTCGAAAAATCTTTTGAAGAATTGAAAAAATATATTAGAAAAAACATTAGGAAAATATATTTTATTACCTCAACAATTTGATAATATTCGAACACGAGTTGTATCTTCTTTAAGAAATAGTTATCATCTATTTGCTGATGGTCTAAAGAAATCAAATTCAAAATACGTTAAAATAGCTGCTACTACTCTTAAAGCAATAGATATCATTAATAAGTTGTGGACTGTAGCTCAATCTGTCTTACAGTTCGAACATGTCTTTATAATACTTTAAAAGATATTATTGAAGGTACTACCAAAGAAAATCAGAATATTTATAGAAAAAACATTAATAAGAACCTTGCCGAAACAAGAGCAGAACAGTTGAATAGAATCATTAGAGAATATATATATCAACTAAATTAACAAAAGAATTAGATAAAGTAGTAAGACAAGCTATTAATGGAACATTAAAACAGATTGGAAAAACCATTGTACAAGGAATAAAGACAATGGTTGATTCACAATGTAATGGAAAAAAATCCAGCTAATATATTGAAACAATCGAATTAAAATAGACAAAAACATGCAGAAAGTCAAATTGCTAATAAATCAAGATTCAAAGAAAGAACAACAAGATCGAGCGAAACGAGAAGATCTACAACATAATATTAGAAATCCAAAACAAATTACTGCAAGTTATTTGAGATAAGCAAAAGATAAAGATAGAGCTTTAGGTCTAACTGATATCAAAATGTTAGCAGATCGTAAAAGAAGAAAAATAACTGTTTACAATTCAGATACTGACGAAAAAGAAATAATAAATCCTTCAGAAGTAAGAAAAATACTTGCTCTTCTTAAACAATCTGCTAAAATATATTATGAAGCAGATGAAAATGGAGATATTGGACATTATTGTACTAGTAGAGGAACAGAAACATATATACAGATCAATGAACGGAAAGATTGTTTGCTAATAACTTATCATGAATCATTAGGTAGAAAAGTAAATGAAAATATTATAGGACAAGAACGAGTATCACTACGCCGTTATACTGCTAAACATTCAGAAAAATATGTTAGAGACGTAGATGGGAGATTGATTTGAATAGACGTAATCAGATGATAGGTTGTATACCAAAGAAAAACCTTTACATCTTCAATCCTATACCTGTAATACAGGATGGTTCTAGAAAAAGAAATAAAATATAAATTAATGCCTAAAGCTATGAAAAAATTAAGGAATGAAAATGATAAACTAGTGGTAATTACGTCTCAGCCATTTAAGGCGGGTACAATAAAGCAAACAGATAATGTACGCTTAGATGATCAGAATTTTACTGGAAATAGTGACTATATTAATTTTCAAGTGCAAATAGATGGACAGAGATATAAACATCAACGTAGGGGTAATGAATCTACAACTGTCGCACATGTTTTAGTGACAAGACCACTAAAAGATTCTGATGCTGTTTATCATTGTAGCTCAAGAAAAATTGCTAAGGTCCTTCTTGATAGTTTAAATAATGGCAAAACAGTAAAATTACTTGCAGAAAATCTTTAATAGGCATTTCAAATTAATCACCTTTAAGTTTTGGTTAAAATTTATATGTGAACAGTATCAAAATCTTTTCCATCTATACAATGCTCTCATTATTGTTTAAATAAATCTCATTATTAGTAGCATATTCCCATTCTCCTTATGTATTTTCAGCAATCAATGTGTTGCCTTCTTCAAATTTTGTTGATCGAATGAAATGTACTAGAATATATACACATTCACCTTTCTGTTTTTATACAATTTGACAGTAGATCAGTACAACAGTAATAACTTGCAGGAGTGACTTTTCTCTTGTTATTTTCTTCCGACTAATTCTCATATTGTATAATAACGATAAAGAACAAAGAAAAAAAGATGAAGATATATATGTTCTAATACATTTCATTCCATTAATAAAGTTTAATAGAAGGACTTTTGATTATGGAAATATCATGAAGTGAAAAAAAAAGATATTCTGTTGAGGAAAAGATTTATTTGAACAATTCTTCTATGTTAATTTATTATTTATACGAATAGTTTGCATCTGTAACATGTTATTTTAAAGAAAAATATTTTCAAAAAATGAAATTGTTAGAAAAATTTTTCTTTTTGCATATTTCAGTAGTTAGTTAGTGCTGGTCCTATAATTCAAAACCATATAACTTTCAATACTACCGCTACCACGGAGGGAATAGATATTTTAGACTTTTTTTTAGTTTGTAGAGTAGATCTGGACATATAATTTTTGGATTTCTCTTTTGAATGATGACATGATCTCGGAAATACTAGCCAGAAAAGTCTATACATCCTCAATCATCAAAGACTGGGGGTGCTTAGTTTGACTGAAAGCTACAGTTCTTTTTCTATCACCTCGCTTCCATAATATATCAGAAAAAAATGTTTTTTTTACCACTTACAGTGTTTGCATAATGCTAATGAACGCTATCTCATGTGAAATCAAAATCTTCAAAAAAATCTGTTTGTAAGTAGAAAAATATTTTTTCAAGACTTTGATTTTTTTCATTTTACATAAGATAGAGACTCCTTAGACTTGCCTGTTCATTAGAATTAGGTGAACACTATAAATGGTAAAAAAAAATCATATTATGGAAGCAAGACGATAGAAAAAGAATTGGGGCTTCCGGTCAGACTCAGCACTTCCGTATAATTCCAACTTTGCCAATAGACTTTTATGTATTCTGTTATAATCAAAATAATTGATAAAGACTTGACAGAAAAATATTTTATTACACTTCTAAGTATTATATGATTTCTAAAAAGTTTTGTTTGTCACAATTTACTGCAAAAACATTCATATTTTTGTGTGTACAAAGTTTCATCAAACTAATAAAGAAATGTAAGTTTAAAACTAAAAAATTTTACTAATATCCATTCTCTGTTTAAAAACGCCTAATAATTGAGCTATCTCAATTACTTTCACTTATGTATTGCGTTTTTTTGTACAACAAGTTGTCTGTTATGTTTTATTATTCATCTTTCATTATTGTACTGTTTCCTATTCTATAATAATTTTCAGTATATTGTGCCAACATATTTATATTATATATTAATATGTTGAAATTGAGTGTTCCTTCTCTTTTCTGTATTACCCACACTTTTGATCTTGTGGATGATTTCTAGCAAATGACGGCTAGTCTCTCTCCCCTACTGCTGTCAAGTTAATTTGGTACTAATAAGACAAAAGAAAATATGAGCAAAAGAAGATCGAACTGAAGCATTTTAATTGGTCTTGTTAGCATCGTATACTTCATGCCTCACTATAACATTGATGACGTGAACTGATCTGATAACCATTTTGTCTGACGGTACACTCAAAATTAACCGAAATTAATATCCAAAATAATCAGTAATACCTTGATCAGAATATCTTGATTGTGAACATTTGCAGAACATTTCAAGATGAAAATGTGTCCCTACGTTGTCATTAATAGTCAAAGACTAAACTTTATCTTCGATACAACAACAAAAATTTTTCGGATCGAGTATGTGTAACGAAACCTATCAACACTTTGAAATTTTTGTTAAGAAAGCAAGCTTTGATTCGTTCTATCATGACTGTAGTGGATTTCCTCATGAAAGTAAAACAATTGAAATCAAGTGAATATGCGATAACTTACGAAAATTAGCAAATCTTGATACTATCAAAATCAAATTTTTCATAAAACCAGTATCAAGCTAATCCATCTGAAATTCTGGGCGTCAAGAACTAGCGTGATCATCTTATTTCATGACATTTCAGTAAAGGAATTTACATCCTGAAATGCATCCAGATCGATTGCACAGATTTGATGTAATTCTATTACAATAAAATGATTATAGTCAATCACACATTGAGCTCAATGTCATCACAGAGAATATAATGTTTGCGAAAAATATAATCATCTATATCGATAATGTCCACTGCTATCAAATAGAAATCATGCTAAAGGTATTATTCATATATGTTTATTCTCTTTCTTTTTGTCAAGTATTTTCTCTATTGTTTTCTGTTGGGGTCTTCTTATACCGGTTTTTCTTGCTTTGATATCCTAACCGATATATTTTCCAAATGTATTGTGTTATCTTTTGATATCTTCCATTTTTTTGCTTAATATTTGATGTAATATCTGGTGTGGGTGTGGGTGT